CCAGAGATTTTTATTGCCAAAAATAAATCGAGTATTTGATAAATTTGATTTTATAGAGTACAATCCCATTTAGAATCCCCCCTCACTTTAATATCATATCATTTTTTCATTTCCAATTACCCCACACCTTTCTTCATTCTCCATTTTATTCATAGAAACTAATTATTTTATAGTATTTTTTAATATATCTTTTTTTCTAGGTATTAGAAACCTAATTTTCATTTTATTTTGTTTCAGAATATGATTAATTCTAATGCACTTGTAAGTGCATCGGATTTTTCATCAGGAACTTTCCCTTCGATGCATTCATTGAATCTTTTCAGACATCCAAAATAATCTTTTCTTTTTCTTTTTCAGGTTCGTTTTGAGTTTCTTTTCTCAGTGGGTAACAGGTAAATCTTTCTTTGGTTTCTTCACAAAGAAAGGTCTACTTTAGGGATGCGACCCTGCCCTACGCAAGCCATGATTTTCTCCTACCTCCAATAACTGGGAGAAATCATGTCCTTTACCTTGAATTTCACCCCACCAACCATCACTCCTTCCCTACTTCTTTATTTTTCTTTTTGTTTTAGGTTTCTTCCTGTTCTAGGTTTCTTATAATAATGGAGTATTCAAGAGGAAAGGAATATGGACCAGAAGAGGACTGAGTTATGGTAAACAGGTTGTATTTTATTCATTTATTACTTTTTTTATTCACAGGATGAATTATAAAGACGATGCAATATTACATCCAAGAATAATAGGAAGCAGAACTTAAGAGGACAATCATTATAGTAAAGGGTAATATAAAATAATTACTTGCAAAAATAATTCAAGAATTTTAATTCTTTTTATTTTATTCTTTCAAGCAACGTATATGTATGATAGTTATTTTTAATGTACCCTTTTTCTTCTACAGGTATCATCTAATATCTTCTTTTTTTTTTTCACAGGTACCGTCTAATATTATATATATTTATTTTTATTATACTATATTTTAGGTAGATTAAAAATTATTAAATATAGAATATTCATAACTTGTAATTTCCGAAGGTACATATATTAAAATTATTCCAGGGTGTATTAGTATTAACTATCATCGATGATTCTATTGAATTTCTAACCAAGTTACACTCCTTATTTATCATTTTGTATTTTTTAGTAATACAATTTTTTTCTTGTATTTTCGATAATAATTTTATTGATTTTTCGGATGGTACTCTTATGGAGGGGCCTAAGAGTTAGGTTTATTCTTTTTAATTGTATTCGGATGTGGGCATCTTTAGGATGCACATCCCTCCTGGGTCTTCAGAAGCGGTTACCTCCTCGTGGTTAGACCCGGGCAATGGTATTTTACTTTCCATGTAATGTTTAACATATTTTTATATGTTTTACATTCCATAGCAAGTAAAATCCAGCTGAAGACCGCTTTTTACTTACATTGCAAATAAAATTGTATTAATATTCATTAAAATTTCTGTTTCAGAAGTGGTTTAATGGGTAGCGGGTAAATTTTTTGTTCATAAAGGGTGGTACCATTTACGAATAAAGAA